CCAAGTCCATTGTCACAAAAACAAAGACATACTGAAGAGTTATAGTTTGAATGAGAAGACAATACTTTCAAAAGGGCATCTGCAAGGATATTCAAAAGAATGGGCAATATATCTTAATGCAGTTCCAGTTTTAATGCAGCTTTAATCACTGGAGACAACATCTGCCATATCTGTCCACCTTGAGGGATTAGTCTTACTATAGATAATTATCTAGAATTAAATATTCACCTATCTTAAAAAAAAACAACCAGCCACTGTTTTCATGGTCATCTACAGGTGCCTTGGGAAGGATCTATTTCATGTGGCCTTTCACTGATATAATGAGAAGTGTTCCTTTTTGAGCCATTTAGATCATCTAAAGGCCTAGGATTAGAAGATCTAGCCATTTACCCTCAAATATCTGTATTTTTCTGAAAGGAAATTAAAAGATGGGGTTCTTTCCCTTCTTGGAGCCAGAACACTAATTCCCAAGAGCAAGTGAGCAGAGCTGATATTTAATAGCTCTAGTCTCAGCAGCCAGGTTCACCAAGGAGGCTCCTGGGTCTAGCCTGGGACTTTTTAAAATTATTTGTTTATTTTTTTGGTCAGTCTGGGGCTTGAACTCTGGGCTTGAGCACTGTCTCTTATCTCTTCAGCTCAAGGCAAGCGCTCTACCGCTTGAGCAACAGTGCCACTTCTGGTATTCTGAGTGGTTTATTGGAGATAAGAGTCTCATGGCCTTTCCTGTCTGGGCTGGCTTTGAACTGTGATCCTTAGATCTCAGCCTCCTGAGTAGCTAGGATTACAGGTGTGAGCCACCAGCACCCGGCTACCCTGGGACTTTTTTGATAGTGCTAGGAAGCTCCAGAAACAACTTTCATTCATGTGTGATAGGATACATCTTCACCCCTCCTGATTTCATATGACTATCTAAAGTAGTTCTTCAGTTCACAGAGAGTCACAGATAAAATTCTTAAAGGGAATGCAAGAACTTTGGAGCTGTCTTACTTTTTAATTAACAACAGTTCTTCTGGCTCAGCTGCATGACCATTAGACACTGAAATTTAGTGCTACTGCTTCTTTAAAAGTGATATGGATCAAAAAAAATGTGGTATATATACACAATGGAATTCTATGCCTCCATCAGAAAGAATGACATTTCCCCATTTGTTAGGAAATGGAAAGGCTTGGAAAAAATTATATTAAGTGAAGTAAGCCAGGCCCAAAGAAACATAGGTCCCATGGTTTCCCTTATTTGTAATATCTAGTATATATATGAGTCAAGCAGAAAAGGTCAGATAATGTGATGTTAGGAAAACGAACCCTTAAATATGTATTTTAATGTTTTTTTTTTCTTTCATGCATGTGTTTCTAATGCATTTATAAGATTATCTCTTTGTTGCTTTGTATGTCCCTCCCCCACAGTGTAACCCCCGCTTTCACTATATTTGATGTCAGTATAACTTGTGGAGGAGATGGGGACAAACAAGTCGTTTAAGGATTCAGGTGGACCTGTTGCAACAATGAGAAGTATAAAATGTCATGTCAAAAACGAGCTTTACAATGTCGGTGTGGGGGGGAGGGGGGGAATGATTGGGTGGGGGGGGAGGGGGGAGGCTGGGAAGGGAGGTGAAGGGTAAACAAAGGAGGAGGCTGCAATGCTTGATAAGAAATGTATACATTATCCTGCCCATGTAATTGTAACCCCTCTGTACAGTATGTTCTCAAATAAAATAAAATTTAAAAAAAAATAAAAAAATAAAAGTGATAACAGCTCTGGATCTCACAAGTGGACCTCAAGAATCATTGGTGGCTGAACGAGCTGTGCTTGGGGAAAGAGGGATTTGGGTTCTGTAAGGCATTGATGACTCACACTGGAGAGGTTACCAGGTACTCCAGGGGGGTACCTTGTCCCCAAGACCTTAGCTTACTTGGTTTGATCTGGATCCAAGTATCCAATAGTATCCCACTTGAAGACGTGTGGATATTCTATGGCTTTTTTTTTCTTCAGAAGCATTTAACTTAAAAATTGAGCTCCTAACTGGTTTAAAGCTCAGTGAGGAGGAGGAGTGATGGAGACTATGTTTAGACTCTTGTGCATGAAAAAATTAGAAAAAAGAAATGTAATAATCATAGCCATTCTCTCACTTTAACATTAACAAAGCAAACTATATTTTATGCAATGCCTACTGAGACAACCAATGGAAAAGACATGGACTCAGATTGTCTCCAGTAGCTTGGCCCAGTGTGAGTAATGGTCCCAGTCAGCTACATCTTCCGTTCTTGCTCTCTCTTACATCGAACTCTCCAGATTTAGAGCTGGATTTAAATGATGTTTGAATACCTGTCTGTACCAGTAGTGGGTTCCTTTTGTTCTGGTCCTATTCTATATACATTTTGCCCCACATAGCACAGTACTGTCGTGTGTGTGTGTGTGTGTGTGTGTGTGTGTGTGTGTGTGTGTGTGTGTGTGTGTGTGTGTGTGTGTAGGCCTTGGGGCTGAACTCAGGGCCTAGGCACTGTCCCTGAGCTTTTGCTCAAGGCTAATGCCCTACCACTTGAGCCACAGCTCCACTTCTGGCTTTTTGGTAGTTAGTTGGAGATAAGAATTTTACAGACTTTCTTGCTCAGGCTGGCTTTGAACCATGAACCTCAGACCTCAGCCTCCTGAGTAGCTAGGATTACAGGTGTGAGCCACCGGCATCCGGCTATGCTCACCTTCTAGTAGTCTCTTACCCAAGAGATTTGTCCCTCAACTGGACCAAAGTTTCCATTATGCAGGATCTTATTTGGTGAACTCTAAGTCACCATAAAATATCCATATTTAGACAGCTGTTAGATTTCTCCTTGTTTTCTTGCCTACCTGTTACAAGTGCAGAACTCCCTGAACACCCTGTAGCCATGTCCTTCCTGCCCCTGTGAGGTCATTACTGCTTGAGCAGCTGAGCAAAAAGCCCTGAACCTAATACATATTTTATATATAGCTTTATGATTGATGAATGCACTGAAAGTAATTATTGTCTTGTTAAAGAGTCAATTAAATTCAACATTTATTAACCACTTACCTTCATGTCAAGAGTGAGTAGGAACTTAATTACCCTTCCACTTTTGGAAAAATGAGAGGATGAGAAAAAAGAACAAGGTTGAGGGTTACATCCAGATTTTGCAAATGCTAAAAGGAGAAGTATAAAAATAAAATTGTCCTTCTCACTGGGCACCAGTGGCTCAGGCCTGTAAACTTAGATATCAGAAGGCTGAGATCTGAGGATAAAGGTTCAAAACCAGCCCAGGCAGGAAATTCCATGAGTTTCCTATCTCGGAGTCACCATCCAAATGTCAGAAGTGGAGCTATGGCTCAAGTAATTGAGTGCCAACTTTGAGCAAAAATGCTAAAGGACAGTGTCCAGGCCCTGAGTTGGAGCCCTAGTATCAGTGAGCGCACATGTGCGCGCGCGCGCATACGCGCACACACACACACACACACACACACACACACACACACAAACAATTGTCCTTCCATAGAGGGAATAATATCAAATTTTGGTGTATTACCTATCCAAGAAGAGTGATTGTACCATTTTATCTAGTCTACCATTGACTTTTCTAGTTCTATATTTCTTGCATGATTCAATAGTTTTGCAGTTGAACACCAAGAGTATCATAAAAATAAGCAATAACTTTGAAAGCCAATAGAATGATATAAATAAAATAACAAAATGTTCAGCTCATATTTTAAAGCTTACTGATTTGTAGAGCAACAGTACACATTATTTATAGAAAGGACCTCATCTAGACAATCTGCACTTCTGTTAATGATGTTATTTAAATCTTCCTACACAAAGTCACTGATCAGGCTCCAAATCTTGAAGATGGATAGTTATGAATGCCCTCTTGGTTGAATGCTTTTTATGTGTAAAGTGCATAGAGGAGTGAACACATATTTGATTGTTGATAATTAGTTTTGTGCCAACTAGGCCTGTCCCAGCAGAGCTGTGAGTATGATGCTCAGAGCTCTAGGCCTGAGCTTTTCTCCTATTCATAGTGACCTGTTGTCTGCATCCTTTGGAGGGTGAAGGTAGGGCAGGAAACTGCCTGCAGGGCATCTTGAAATCCCACCACTGTCTGTGAGCCCTGCTGAGAAAACACTTTTGACTGTTGAAAGAAAGAACTACAGACAAAATAGCTACCAGACCCATGGAAAAAGATAACTTACTCCTGTATGTACAACCATCAATAAAATGTACAACTTTATGTAACACAACTATATTTTGAGTGTCCCTGGCCTGAGAGTAACAGAAAGAAAGCCAATTATGACAATCATTTATTTCTTAACAACTCCAACACCTTAAACATCAGAAAACAAAGCACTCTTATGAAAGTAGATTACCAAACATGCAATCAAGATCTAAAATGATTACTGATCAAAATCTAAAATGATTACCCTGAGGCTGAAGTTGTGGTTGAAATCTTCTCTGGAAGGTGTATAAATTTTAAAGCCTTAAATCTTATCTTCTATATAATGTACCTCTGCTGTCAATAAATTTCAGCCCACTAGCCATTTGTTTAAAAAAAAGAATGTTATAATAATTTTGTTTGAATGGAGATCATATTAAGCCTACTTTGTTTTTAATCCACGTGTACTCCTTATTTGTTTTACAAATGCGTAACGAAACAATTTAATGAAGATTGAAATAAATGCTTATGTTTTATTCATGCAAGAAATGAATGAAGCCTTATCTTTACAAATTCCTTAATAATAAAATAAGCCGTACTTTGTTTCCTCTGAAAATTCATTTTTGTAGGCAATTAGTTTAGATAGAGAATGAGAAGAAAAAGGTACCAACTCTAGCTCACCTTACCCAAGACAGTAGGATGTATTGATTAATTTCATAGCTTCACAGATCTCTAATGTATAGTAAAAATCACAACTGGGACTTTAACCTTGTTTAGTTGAATAGAATTTTTATGTAGCTGATTTGAATTCAAATGCATTATTAATCTTTTTCTTCTTTTTCATGTAGGTGGAAAACAGACCAAAATATTATGGAAGAGAGTATGTATTATACTATTTTTTTGTTTTAACAGTCTAATAAGTCGTCACTTTGTGTGTCATATCAATATTTAAAATTCTCTAATTTATGGTCTTCATCACCTGTCCATTGTGTAAGAGTTTAGTTAGAAGAATAAGTGCAATCAGATTCCTTTGTATTGAATTTTCTTTACAACACTCAGGTGCATGATTTCCATTAAGGTGGCAGGGAAAGTGGCTCGTGCTACAATTCTTTCCACAAAAGCTGTTTCCAAGTACCTCACAAGTATTTGAAATGTAAGGCAGTGTTTTTCATAATGAAGGCTCTCTGTGAGCATTTCACTTCACTGTCTACCTTGATACAATATAAATATTTGGTTTGTTGAAATCCACACACCGTAACTGAATTCCTGATTTTCATGTACTCCATGTTCTCAGTAGCCAGGGAAGACATTCCATGTCCGTGCAGTCTTATTTTTTTAAGAAGGTAGTTTCTCCTGACTTGGATATATGTACACATTGCTTTACTACATTCATTAGTATCTATCCTCTTTTTCCCTATTTTCTAATTAATGCCAGCTCTTGTTTTGCTTCATTTGCTCAGGCACCTTACTACCGCGCAAATATGTGTGACCATAAAATAATTTGTAGTCTGAGTGTGGTTGTAAAGCACCTCACCAGAGGGAGAATTAGTGTACAAGTCATTCTTTTACCCAGAGCCAACCTGGTAGCAAAGCCTCTTTAAAGTCCACCTACCAAGTTCCCGCAGCCAATACCAACCTTGTTCATTTCATTCTCTTTCCCAACAGAGTCACTCACTTGATGATTAATGACCCTCTTAGTGGACACAGCCCAGTACTCCTTCCTAATTGCCACAGCTGCATTTCAGAGCCTTCCTTTGCAGGGCTTTGGGAATTCAGCATCCCTATGAGTACCTACCCAGGAATGTGGATAGGTACTCTCTCTCCAAGCCCATGTCCCTAAAGTCTGGTATATATTGTAATATGACTTCCAGTCTCAACATACTGCTCAGGTTTTGCTTGAAAGTAGCATAATTAATACTATTTAAAAAAATAATGAAAACTTATGATATACACTTGACACATGGATCCTAAATGTTCTTGTATTCATTGTGTACTTTCTTTTTGCATAAAAATTTGAACAAAGGAGGAGGCTGCAATGCTTGTTGAGAAAAGTATGCATTATCCTGCCCATGTAATTGTAACCCTTCTGTACAGTATGTTCTCAAATAAAATAAAATAAAATTTAAAAAAAATTTGGTTGAATAACCTTTCAGTTCTTATTTTCCAGTCCCCAGTTTTGGAAAATAAAAAGACCAAGGAAACATTTTTTTTAACCACACAAGGAACACTTTGTTTTGGAAGCAAATAAATTTAAAGCCTTCTGATTTCATGTTGTTTTTTTTTTAAATTTATTTATTTCAGGGCTTTTTTTCTACTGTAAAAGTATTATATGCTGGCTTTAGAAATTGGAAATTCATTTCTTGTGAATGAAGCACACTATTGACAATGGATAACTCAGGGAGAAATTACTTATATTTTTTTTTATTTTTTGACTTCTTTGTACTTGTAGATATTTGAATTTCCCACCCCCAGTCCGGAAGCTTGAACTCAGGGCCTGGGCGCCATCCCTGAGCCTCTTTTTGTTCAAGGCTAGTGCTCTACCACATGAGCCAAAGTGCCACTTCCTAGATATTTGATACTTGAATTTTAAGTATTGCTTTTGCAGATAGATGTTACATTTAGTTTTTAAATCTAATAATACCTGCTAACTCAGATCATATAGAAAGGAAGATAGTTAAAGACATCTCATCCTTACCCCTCAGAGAAAAATCATCATTCCTTCGTTAACTGTTTCTTTCTGGTACATCATATCATATATGTACATCACAGATATTCTGACTTTCCTAAAGCCATGCGTCAGGGAATGAGGAGCTACTGACTGGATGTTAAGGTATACAAATTGTTACATTCTTTTGAGTAAGTGAACTTAGTTCTTGGCCTCTAGTGTGCTGGCTAGTGATCACATATACTTTCCAATTCAAGAGGTTATAGTTAGCTACTTTCACATTAAACTCCTGTTTCCTTTTCTTCAGTTCTTTCCCACAGGAATGACTGGTATTAGGAAGCCAGGCTCCGGAGTGTGCTGCTTGTGTGCCTCATCCTTCTGTGCTGGACTCAGCTTTGCTTTGGCCCATTGTCAAGCATGTTCTGGACATCTCAATCTGCATCTGACAACAGCTTTTGTCCTTTTTGACGATGAATTGGGCAACATTCCACAATCCTCCCTCTTACCTTCCAACAATCCCTCTCTCTCTCACACATACACCTGCATGGCTACTTGCAAGCATCTTTGCCCACGACATTACCTACCCTGGTTCAGGAAGCATGGCATGGTTGGCAGGGCCCAGGGCATTCCTTCCCTCTGTTTCAAGAGCCTTATAATGGATGTGCAAGCTTTATTTTCACACATTCTATATGGGCCCACTTAGATCCAATGAGCTGGCATCTGCCCAAACCCACTGCGAAGACACTCTTCCTTAAAGACAGAGGTCTCCTTATGGACAGTAAGGTCCCTATTATGTCTCAGTATTCATCCTTTTTCCAGGAAAGCACAGCTCCTAGACATCCAGGTCATGGCTCCTGAGATTCACAAAGCCAATTTTAGAACTCAAAGACAGTCAGAATATTTGTGATATATATATATATATATTTATATACACACATATATACACACACATATATAGATATCATGTGATGTACTACCTCACTCCCTAGAACAAGAACATTGACATGGAAGGTATATATATATATATATACATATATATATATATATAATTCATATATATGTGCATGCACATATATACGAATGAATAACAATTTAACATTATATCAATATGTCATTATTTTATATATACCTATATGAAGGTATAGATATATGTATTATATATTTTATATTCCAATATCGTGTTGGGTATTTTTATTTTTAAAATATGGTTCTGTCTTATTTTTCCTCTATCTTAATCATGATATTCCTGGGGTATAAAAAAATTTAAAAACTTGTCTAATGGCTTCTTGTTTTCCTTCCCTTTCTTTTCTTTTTCTTTTTTTACTATGAGACATTGTACTTTTTTTACTATCTTTAAGTAGTTCTGCAAAGGGGTTACACGTCAACATGTCAGTTTATGAGTACAATGCATCTTTATCAATCAATATCATCCCCTTTAGCTCTCCTCTTCTCCTTCTTCCAAGAAAGTAAAGACATTTTTTTCTTGGTCTAGAAAATTCCTTCTTGGATTAATTCTCCAAGATTTGGTAATCCTGGAAGGAAAGTGTTGATCAATTCTCAGGAACCTGGAGTCCTTGGGCAGTGGCCTTACTCCCTAGCAGCTCATCTTCCTCTAAAACACTGATTGATCAAACCTTTCTATTAATAGTGATGAACAGCCATCCTTGTTCAAGGGCAGCAGGGAGTGGTCTGGGGCCTGCTTGACTCAGCTTCCACTGCCCTCTGCCTCCCTGGTGGCCATAGGCTACAGAATGAACCTAAGCAAGGACCTAAGGAGGTCCTAGCTGTCCCTGGCCAAGATGAAGCCCTTCCCAACATGCGTGCCACATTTTCTATGTGCATGTGTGTTGACGTCATTCATGGTAGAAAAAGAAGATATATATATATATATATATATATATATATATATATTAATTAAAAATAGAAGAAAGTACCTTTTCTAGACCTATCCCTTCAGCAATTGCTCTCAAAACATTGGTGACTGGAAGAATGTGGATTACAGCCAGCTTTCCTTTCCAGAGAATGAGCCTCTGAAATGAATAGCGTCTTGCACCTGAAGCAAGCAGGTTACTGATCAATAGGTGTTCATTTGCAATCAGGATAATACGTAGTTCTCTGCATTTGAGCTGAGAGATAAATTGGTAATTGTTCTTTTTTTTTTTGAGATGCCATAAACTGGCTTTTTTTATTTGGACTTCCATTTTCATCTTGAGAGCAAAGATAATAGTAGAAAGGCAGGTGAAAATTGGGTGTTCTGTGTTTGCTTATTTGAGTAGTATCTGTCAGAGCACGCTGGGGGGGTGGAGGGGAAGAGAGCAGGAAGGCCCAGGGGTCTTCGAGATGTGCAATGCTCAGGTCCTTCTTCATCCAGAGAGGGCTGTAGATTCAGAGTGAACCCGTCATCTTTTTTAGCCTAGCTTTTTGGGGGCTACCTTATACATGATCTGTTCCAAGCAATGCTGGTCTTGTGTCCCCAGGTTTCATGGGATTATCTCCCGGGAGCAGGCTGATGAGCTTCTGGGCGGTGTGGAGGGTGCCTACATCCTTCGGGAAAGCCAACGCCAGCCAGGATGTTACACGCTAGCGCTAAGGTGAGCTGAGTTTCACTCACGGTTTGTATGAGTTTGAAGGTGGCTTTGCTGCTTTCCCCTGCCATCCCTGAGTTGGACAGAGGCCTGGGTGTGCTGGAAATCTGACTTTACCCATAATCCACTGCTGAGGGCCCAGGAAGGCATTGCTGCGGGTAGTGTACAGGATGTGATGCACTGCTTCACAAGAGGCCCTGAAGCCACGGTCATTCACGTTGGCCTGTGAGGCTGCAAAGCCAACCCCTGACCTATCTCTGTGTGTTTGCATCCAACTGGGATGAGGCCTATTGCTGGTATGTTCTAAGCGGGCCTTCGTCCTGAGCATCAAATCCACCTCCTTAGGTTTGAAGACAAGCAACTCGGGGAGTTGTCATCCTCCACAAAGCTAAAGAAAGATGTAAAGGGTAGGGTACAGCTCTGTAGTGGCTATGGATTATGGCCAGGATGCCATCAAAGGATACTTCAAATGTGAACAATGAACAAATGTAAACAATGTAAACAAATGTAAACAATGAACAAATGTAAACAAAGAACAAATAAAAAGCGGGCTCATTAGGAAACTGACTTGCTCACGGTTTTCCTGCTTTATTTCTGAGATTTTTATTAGCATATTTCGATTGTGCTAGAGGGATTTATGTGACATACCTCTACACGCATGCAATGTACTCCTCTCGAAATCATGCCTTTCATAAGTTTCTCATTTTAAAAATCTGTGGTGAAATATACATATATTTTGTATATTTATATAGGTACATATTTGTATATTTACATATATGTATATTGATAACCATCCATATAAATACACATACTATGTATCATTTTACCCTATTTAAGGGTAAACTCAAAGGCCTGAAAGTACATTGTGTTATTTCACTAGCTTCTCTCTATTCCCAGAGCTTTTCATCATCCCAAGCAGAAACTCAGTACCCACAGACAGTCATTCCCCCTCTGATATTTAAAACACTAGCAGCATATTGGAGTGTTTATATAGTTCCTGGGCTGCAGGTCTTATCAGGTTATTACTTGTAGACATGGGCTGTGTTCATTGTGGCACAGTACATTGGAAATTTATCTGGAAGCTCATTGTTCCTCCACTTGTTTCTGCCTGAAATATGGAGCTAGCTGACAGAGCCCACCTCTGCCTCCTTCCCAGCAACCGTCATTCAACATGGGCTTCACCTCATCTTGTAAGCGTGTGCCTAGCATAACCTATTGGGACTTGCTTGTTCACAGTTTTCTTTCAGGTATCATCTTCATCCCAAGCTCATCCTGATGGCAGGCATGATGCAGCATGCCAACAAGCCTGTATAACAGGATTCTCCTGGGCCTTTAACCAACATCACAACACCAGTATTTATTTAGGTACTTACTTATTTCAAGCTCCCGTACTAGAGTTTGAGCTCAGGGCCTAGTCACTGTCGCTCACCTTTTCCACCAAGGCTGACATTCTACCACTTGAGCCTTAGCTCTACTTCTGGTTTGGGGGTGGTTTGTTAGAGGTAAGAGGCTCATGGCCTTTCCTACCCAGCTGTCTTGGAGTCATGATCCTCAGATTTTATCTCCTGATGAGCTAGGATTACAGGCATAAGCTCAATACTTGGTCATCGTAAGTATAAAAAAGCATTTTGTCTATACCATTTCTATATGCTCATCCAGTATTTTATGTCATTTGATTTCTAACACAGTCCTAGTGAGGTTTGTGACAGATGCCTAATTTCATAATCAGATTGTCTGCTAGCAGGTCATTTCCTGGTAATGGAAGACCTTTTTCCATAAAGGGAATGGGGTAGCTTCACAGAACAGCTAGCAAATGGTATGTGCACACTATTGATACTATGGCCTTTGAAAGAAACTTCTCAAGTTTTAACTGGGGATCTCTAGAATGTATCTTTTTTTTGGGGGGGGGGTCCGGTCGTGGGACCTGAACTCTGGGCCTAAGTGCTGTCCCTCAGCTCTTCAGCTCAAGGCTAGCGCTCTACCACTTGAGCCACAGCGCCACTTCCGGCTTTTTTCTCTTTGCTTACGTGGTGCTGAGGAATCGAACCCAGGGCCTCAGACATGCAAGGCAAGTGCTCTACCACTGAGCCACCTTCCCAGCCCTCTAGAATGTATCTTAAATGATGTAAAGATGAGGCCATACTTCAAATGCTGTGTAGTACTCTAGGTATACAAAGTACTTTCCTCTCTTTCCAGCAAATGAGCATCAGGAGCTGGTACCCTAGGTAGGGATCCAAGCAGGTGCTATACATGAAAAACTAAGGACTACAGGGAGTAGTCAGGGCCAAAAAATAGAGGACCCCGGAGTGATATTGCTGGCATGACAACAATGATGGCACACTAACTAAGCACACCTCCAATGTCTCTCTTCCGCCTTGACCAGGGTGGCAGGAATATGTTATGTTCTCATGAGGGCCAAAGATGTAATTAATAAGGAAACATCAGGGTCAATGGTGGTGTCATGAATTACACAAGTTCTTGTCAGGCCCCATTAAAAATTTTATAGGTACAATATTTATATATCAAGAGCAACCATCAGACTTTTCAATTGAGAAATGCTACAACTCAATGGCCAAGGTGACTTACAGGATCAGGTGACCCCAAATGACTACTTCAGATTACATTTGCCTTTCTAGCTTGTAACCTCCAACTTTTCATGCGTCCACTTTAAAACAAGAATAGTATCTCTACCCAGCTTGGAAGATTTCTAAGATAACTGAGTGTCCAGACCTTAGGCCTGTACCCGGCACAGGCCTCAGAGCTGATGTTACTGTTCCTCAGTATGCTAATCCTTCATTCTATCCTGGGCAGGTTTGGAAACCAGACCTTAAACTACCGGCTCTTCCACGATGGGAAGCATTTCGTAGGCGAGAAGAGGTTTGAATCCATTCATGATCTGGTGACAGATGGCTTGATAACGTTGTACATAGAAACAAAAGCTGCTGAATACATTTCCAAAATGACAACTAACCCCATCTATGAACACATTGGATATGCAACCCTACTCAGAGAAAAAGTATCCAGAAGGCTGAGCAGGTCGAAAAATGAATCAAGGAAAGCAAGTGTCACCAATGAAGAACACACACCCGTGGAAAAGGTGAGCTGTGTGGGAGAGACAGTCTCTGTTATTTGAGTAGGTACTGAAAAAGAAGGTGGTCAGACCTAGATGTGATTTGCCAAATGCTGGAGTACTTCCATCTGTAGAACTCTAGAATTTGGAGGCTAAAAATAACTTTAGAGATCTCCAGTCCAAATTCCTCATTTTACACATGAAGATACTAGGACCCAGAAATGAAATTGGTTTATCCACACACATATGGTCAGAGCTAGGAGTTGGACAAACAATCATTTGTGAGTTTGTTTGGAATTTGAAAGGAAAAACACTCCATTAATGTTAAATGGGGAGCCAGTCTGATGAACCACGTTTGAGTTGCCATCTGAGGCATTGCTGGCTCCATTTCTAGTTCTGCTCGGCCCAGCCAAATGCAAGACCTTTGTGTTTGCCTCTCACGGGGATGGGTGACTGTCTGTGGCCATGGGCCAGCCAAGTCTTGTAGATGATCTAACCTAGATGAATTATTGACAGATATGGAAGCCTAATGGCTATGGCAATTATGCCTATCTCTGGAAGACTTAGAGAGGCTGGCCTTTGCCCCACCCAAAAGCATCATCATACCTCACCAGAGATTCAAACACTCCCAAGTGACTGATTATGCAACCTGAATGTGTTGTGGTGATCTGAATTTCTTCCCCACTACATTTCTGCTTATTTGAAAGGCACCACGGTTTGCTAGCAGATTTTATATGCTTTTTTGGGGGCACTCCTTTGCCTGGTACTATCTATTTTGCACTGAAAGAAACTGCCAGCCAGCCACACCAGCAGGCCCCACTGAAGCTGTACTGAACCCAGCTTCTAAACCAACCTAGAACTGAGACAGACATAATAAGGGAACAGACAGGATGGTGAGCACTGCTCCTTGTGGTGGTTGCTAATCTTTAATTAAACCACTGCAGACCCCTTGTTGTCCAGAGTTGATGCAAACCAAAGGAACCTCAGGCTGATTGATCACCAATGGTGGAAACTCACCCAGAAGCCCTGAAATAGATAGGGTGGAGAGCAGCAATGTGGTCCTATTGCAGGGGTGGAGGAATTAATTTAGTAATATAGCATCAGAGACAAGGAGAGCCTTCTCCAAAAGTACATCAGTTGAGCAGCTGGCTCATGAAAAAATAATGTGACTTTTAAAAATAACTGGTATCTCTGCAGCACAGCAGAATTATATGTATTCTTTTACAAATAATTGATTGGGGAAACTGTGAAGCATTTACATTTAACATGAGGAAGAGCAAGTAGGGGAGACAGAGACAGAGATAGAGACAGAGACATAGAGTCTCAAGTCTCAACTTTCAGTTTGTATTCAAGAATAGAGCTCTTTCTTTGCCTGTGCATAAAATCTGTTCAAGAGTAATTTAGAATAGAAAATCTGGAAGCTGATCTTCTTAGCATGACAAATCAGAAGATTAATTGTAAAATAAATTTCTGAAGTGCTGTTTATATTTCTGAGCCAGACAGTAGTACCACCAAAAAGACAGTCTGTCACAAATGTCAAGCCACACAATAGGACACATCAAGGAAAAGAAAGAGGAGAAAAGATGGCCTGTCTTACCTGTGTGAGGGATGAGGATATAGATCCTGAATATCAGCACTGTTATTTCTCAATCCTTATTTTCCTTCAGAATTGTAGTTTGGTCAACGGAAGCTGATATTTCTGAATAATATCCTGATTTTGAAACTAGCACAACAGAATGTGTCATTTCCTATAGATATTTGTATTTATTTCTTAAAAATAAATCTGGAAAATGAAAAATCAGATTATTAATCCCAGTGAATAAGTCAATCCTTTTTACCTTTTGAGGAAAAGGTAAATATTGAAAGAAGATGTCTAAACTCAGTAGGTGTCATGATGGACAGGTGTCAGTGGCGTGGATTTTCTTGGACACTAATGATGTGATGATGGCTTTTGGGGGGGAATGCTCTGGACATAGGCTGGTCACTTGCTGGCAGCCACTCATTTTGTTAGTCGTTGGTAAAGTAACCTGGTAGGAATCTATCCATTTCATTCTGTCCTGTATTGACAAGTAGGATTATTAAAAGTCTCAGTCTTGCCAGTGATTCCATTTCCCTTAAGGGCAGGTCAGTGTCCTGTTGCCATGGAGTCAGAGAATAGAAAAGACACAGCGGAAACTTGAATGGATTGACTGGGAAGAGCCTGGGGTACTTGTCTGCTTCGCTCATGGCATGTCTTGAGGGTGTTAATGAGTGAAACAGTTAGGTTTCCCAATGTTTTTTCAAATCTAAACGTGATACCATTTCCATCTGCAAAGTACTCAAATGTTGCTCACCCATTTATCTGATTGATAATTTCCAAATGAATCCAGAAAGACTATGTTATCTAAGCATATTAATAACGCTAATTGGCAAAAAGGTATGAGGTACCACATTAGATTTTGACCGCTTCCAGATTTATCATCTGTCAATACGGTAGCTGTGAGCTTGATTTTAGTAACTGTAGATGAGGTAGGGAATAGAAAGGATGCAAAGAAAGAAAGTTTTATTGGCTTAGCTAATGATAATCTGTTCCCTTGTTGATTCTGATTTAATGGGTCTTTAAAACACTGAAATATAAAAGGGTCACTATTCACTGCCTTTAATTAGAATATCATGACCACTGCAATTTCTTATAGGAAGTATATTTTAGAATTTATTCCATGGGTGGATTATGTCCTACTGACCTTCAAAAAAGACCCTGTATACCATTTAAGAAAAACAAGAGGATTCAACATTAGCTCAGACATCTATAGTTCATAAACAGATTTCCCAAAGGTAAAGTAAGGCCTCTTTTCACCCTCAGAGAAAGTGTGCCAGGTTCATAGGAATCACCATTACCAGTGTCAACTGCCTGTTATCTTAATCTATGTGAGAAGCTAAACTTGGGACAAACACAGTTACAGGCCAGCTCAGGCAGAAGAGTCTGCAGCACTCCATCCCAATAGAAGGAAGTTGGATGAAGTAATGTGTACCTGTCACCCCAGCAACTACAGGAAGCCTAAAATAGGCAGGTTGCGGTCCAGACATGCAAATAAACAGTGGAAAAACAGGAGGAGTAAGGTTGTGGCACCGTAGTACGCTGCCTGCCCAATAAACTCAAGGCCTTGAGTTCAAACCCCATTAATGCCAAAAATAAAGGACAAAAGAAGAATATACAAGTTGAGTATTGCTTATCCAAAATATTTGAGTCTGGGCATGTTTTCAAGTTTGTTTGTTTTTTTAATTTCAGAATTGTTGCATAGATCTTACTGGTTGTGCATGCATTATCTATATGCCTGAATTCCAAAATGCTTCACAATTTAATTTTATTGTGAAAGTTTTGTATTTCAATATAATACAATTTTCATATTTCTGGGCTAATCATGCTCAAGCTGTGTCATATCGATTCATCCAAATGCCTATTATATCAGAATTCTTAGGCGACCTCCATGCAAGTGCAGGAATAGAGTGAGACCTTCAAGTGGGCTCATAGGGAGAATGAAAAGACAACTTGTCACATAGTATGTATAATTGTCACATTCACGGAAATTACTAGAAAAATAACTTTACATATTTTTCTTTTTTTATTTTTTAATTTTTTTGGGGGGTCCGGTTGTGGGGCCTGAACTCTGGGCCTGGGCGCTGTCCCTCAGCTCTTCAGCTCAAGGCTAGCGCTCTACCACTTGAGCCACAGCACCACTTCCGGCTTTTTTCTTTTTGCTTATGTGGTGCTGAGGAATCGAACCCAGGGCCTCATGCATGCAAGGCAAGCGCTCTACCACTGAGCCACCTTCCCAGCCCCTACTTTACATATTTTTCTTATCAAGTTATACCATATACTTTGAGGTTTACCAGGGCCAATACCATTGGTTGCCTATGGAAGATGGAGTGGGTTTGAGTAAATGTGGGAAAGAGAGTATTTTCCTGTTCCTGTTTGATACTCTATGAGTTTTGAACCATGACCTATGCAGTATCTCTTCAAAACTTAAATAAGGAAAAAGAACTTATGAGTTAAATTCAGATGTGTTCAAGACCTGACTAAAACCTTTTCTGTAATCTATTTCTGTGCTGGAGGCATGGCTCAACCAGTAGAGCATCTTGCCTAGTGAAGGGTAAAGCCCTGAATTCAAACCCCAGTACTTGCCTAAAAAAAGAAAAATGTGGTAAGGAAGGGATAGAAGGAGAAAAAAAAAAGGAGGTAACAATGCTCAACAAGAAATGTACTCATTGCCTTCCTCATGTAACTGTAACCCCTCTGTACAGCATCTTTACAATAAAATGAAGGAAAGTGTATATGCAGTGTCACAGACACAGAGAAGTAGAAAGAGAAGGAGGGAGGTAGGGAGAGAAAGTCAGAGAGAGGGAAAGAAAACAATTCCCATACTGTTTTTTTTTTAATATCCTTTCTCTTTGGCCCCTTCCCAGTGATCACATCGCCATTTTTCGTTTATTTCCACACCCCAGATGGTTCCCAGTGGGTATATGTTTAGCAGACTTTTACTAAGAGTAGAGGATCATTATACATGTAGCACAGGGGAGAAATGGCCAGATAGATAGCACACCGCGACTGTCCCCGCATCGCTTACAATCCCACAACCCACGCACACATTCCCCAGCTGAGCTCCCCTGGGACCCTCTCCAGCCTTCACCCACATTCCCCACCCACATTTCTTTTCTCAAGCTGCTGGGAAACCCATCCCCAGATCCCTCTGGTTCTGATAGCAGTGAGGAAACAGTCTTAGGTTTCCATTCTTCTTACTACTGGGAACCCAAGGAGAGCTGCTTTTGGTTGCTGGAAAGACATGTCATTTAATAGACTTTCCCTCAGCACAAGTGAAACTGTTTCAGACAGCAATGACTTCTCCCTTCCTCCCCTTTTATAAAATAATTATTTGCTACCATTCCAGCGGCCTTTCTTTTGGTCCAGGGTGATCTTTCATTGTTTCCATCTCGGTTTCCTCCCAGACTCAATTGGCCTATCCAAATACCTTTGTATGGGGGGATGATAC